CACTAAGTCATGCATATCAGTCTATACATGTGTACACAAATATCTGTATTCACATATTTTACCTTTAGTCATGTATGTCAGCCTATACAAGTGTACACAAATATCTGTTGTACATATTTTACCTTTAGTCATGTATGTCAGTCTATACAAGTGTACACAAATATCTGTATGCACATATTTTACCTTTAGTCATGTATGTCAGTCTATACAAGTGTACACAAATACCTGTATGTACATATTTTACCCTTAGTCATGCCTACCAGTCTACATGTATACACAAATATATGTATGTTCATATTTTCCCTTAGTCATGCATACCAGTAAATATATGCATACATATATTATTTCATAAAATACATTAATACCCTCAGGCATACCTACTAGTCTATACATGTGAACTCAAACATATGTACCCGGGTTCGAATCCCCACATGGGTACAATGTGTGAAGCCCATTTCTGGTGTCCCCCGCCGTGATGTTGCTGGAATATTGCTAAAAGCGGCGTAAAACCAAACTCAGTCAGTCAGTCAGTCAAACATATGTATGTACATACTTTACCCTTAGTCATGCCTACCAGTCTATGCATGTGTACACAAATATTTGTATGTTCATATTGTACAGAGTAGTGTTGAGAGTAATACAGCTGTATAGGTGTTTAACTATACAGCTGTATTACTTCATTAGTCAGTGTACAAATTCACTTTTCTGGATAGATATATAGAATAATTGTGTCACAGCCTTGCAGTATTTCCTGATATTTCGACTGAATACAACCCCGTGAACTGCGTATGGATTAGAATGTTTAAAAGAAATGAAACTCCCCATACAAACAGAGCAAACTCCGTAAATCACCGACAGAAAGGATAATTATGGATATTTAACATTTCAGTTGTGGTATAGATTAGATTGTCACATTCTACTTCTTATTTCCCTTTGCTCTTAATATTCATCAAGGAGTAAATCTGAAAAGATCAAATCTATAAAATCCAATGATTAAATAGCGAAATGTATTCACATGGAGTATAAAAAGGTATTTGCATCCATCAAAAACCGCTTACTTATTACAAGTATACCTATAATATATACTAATTCATATATCTATACTATATACCAAATTATATATCTATAGTATATACTAGATTATATACCTATAGTGTATACTAAATTATATACCTATACTATATACTAAATTATATACCTATAGTATATACTAAATTATATACCTATAGTATGTAATGTGTTTCGCTTCAGAGAACAACCCATGTACAAAGTGATCACTCTACTTCAACATTTGCACTCAGCTAATGACGTCTCTGTTGTGCAGTGTTAAAAGCGCAGATTATTTATTATCACTAAAGTTAATACTCTTCTACCACATGCTGTTTCTAACACAGCTTTAATATAAAACCATTTACATTACATGAAAAGGGATTTTTGTTGGCGAGACTGATGCATCGGTAATTAAATAGACCCAAGCTTTTCAAATGCCAAAATGTCCATTAGTACATCGCCCTATTAAAGACGCATGCATTGGAATTGAACAGTCACTTCTCAACTCGTCTTTAAATTGTCATTAACCTAACATTCAGATACCCTCCTACGTTTTAACAAGACAGTTGTGATGAACACACACCAATACTGGTCGATTTCAAATTATCAATGTAATGGATCAGATGTTTTATAATATGAGTAAATACACGTATATGCTTCGAACAAAATGAGCTTTCCATTGTGACCATGACTACTAACTCGCACCTACATCATCTGTAAATGAAGGTGCGATGAAACACTTTCCATAAGAAATATGTGCAGTTTATTTTGAGATGGAACATTTTCACACCTGATTTTAAAATAAAACGCGCAAATGCAGTAAATTTTAAGGAGCGGCTATATGAAAGGTGTGTAGGCGACTCTCCAATAGCCTGTTTGAACAGAAATTGAAATATAAATACCATGTATTGAAAAGCCTTTTCCAGGAGAGGACATTCGATTTCTTTCCAGAAAACAAAGTTATACGAAGGAAAGATGGCGCCGACCTTATCAACGTTTTCAGTTGTAGCCTCTTACCAACCCAGTGTATTTTGAATGTGAGTGGGTGAGTGGGTGAGTGACTGAATGGCTGAGTGGGGAGGGAGGGATGACAGGGAGAATGAGCGAGTGAAGAAATGAGTGACCCATTTAAGTTATCGAATTGGGACCTTCGGCTTGACGAGGGAACTCGGTAACCACTGGTTCACCCAACCTACCCCGCATATAAAGTTTCGTCATGTATCCTTGACACAAGGGACCAAGCAAAGTATTGTTAATGATTAAGTAATATCGTCATAACCAAATTCATTTTAGTCTTTCAACTTTCAAATATACATAGTCATATACTTACTACTTACATTATGTTACTACTTACTACTACTAGGCGACAGTAAGCAATTAATAATTCTACATCACACTGACTACTTCGATTGTTTGTTTGCTTAAAAACGACACATTCCAGCTGCATCACGACTATTTGTACAAAAACAACTCCGTACCATAGCGTCCACGGATCGACATCATGAGCATCGAACCATGCAATGTGGATGCAGTGGCATACATTACGAAACCACCGGATCCCTCGGTCGCCTCTAATACGAACTAACGTGAAATGCACACATTGTACCATTGACTGACTGACTGAGTTTGGTTTTACGCCGCTTTTAGCAATATTCCAGCAACATCACGGCGGGGGACACCAGAAATGGGCTTCACACATTGACAAATTGGGACATATTCAATTAGTTTAAGCTTATGTTTTAAACAAATACCTACATTTTGACAACAAATATAATCTTACCATTTTAACACTATGAAGACAGCAGAGTTCTGTCCACAATCATTAGAGTACATTGTATGAGATCATATATGACATCTGACAGTGATGGTATAAGGTGTTTAACTACAAGGTGTTTTCATTAGTCAATGTACAAGACACTTTTCTGAACAAATAATTAGAATAATTGTGTTTTAGCCCTGCAGTGCTTCCTCATATTCTGCTGAATGCAGTCCCATGAAATTGATTAGAAAGTTTAAATATATAGAAACTATAAGGTGTACAAAGCAATCTTTGTAAATCAAACAATGGAAAGGACATGTTTAATCACGTATATTTCATACTCCATCTATGGTTCATATTTGGATTAGATTGTTATATTCTACTTATTATTTCCCTTGGCGCATAACATTCCGATGATTAAATAGCGAAATTTATTCACATGGGACACAAATAGGTATTAGCATCCACCAAAAACTGCTTACCTAGTTAATAGTTAAAATTATATGCCTATAGTGTGTAATGTGTTTCGTTTTAGAGATCAGTTCATACACGAGTGATCATTGCTAATTGCTTCCATGTTAATCTCTTGACATTGTCTTTTATTATTTAATGAGCAATTTGGATGCAATGACATGCATTAAAAATACCAGATCTCCTTAGTCGCCTCTTTATGAACTAGCATGAAGTGCACACGTTGCCTACCATTGACAAACTTGGATATATTCAAATAGTTCGAGGCTCATAATATGTTTGAAACAAATAAGTATATTTGGTGAAAATATATATCTCTCGATTTTAACACTATCCTCGTATCGGATTACACACTGTACAATAACGAGATCTTCCTTATGGTATTCATATCTGGTGTTACCCACCGTGATATTGCTGGAATATTGCTAAAAGCGGCGTAAAACTATACTCGCTCACTATACTGATTCATTTTGTTATCAAGACAAAATACATGAATATCGATCGTCGTTAACCTCTGTGTAATTATTTTATGTATAACATTAATGTTTTAATTACAAACTGATATTTGTCACCTATTTGATGGTAATATGACATACACATGAACATTTAGTATCATAAACAATAGGATACAACTCTGACAACATAAGCCGAATATATATTGATTAAAGGCCATCAATATTGGTGTATTTTGTGCTGATAATAAAAATATAATGAAGTCTTTATCGTACAAGGTATGCTTTTGTTTATCATGCTGAATGTTTCAATATATATATAAAATGCAGGATATCAAAATCATATTTATTATATATGTGTGTGCTTGTCCTGCTTATCTTGTCTGAGTTGTATTGAAATACCCATTGCGTTTACCTGTCTGCGTATAGCGTTTACCTGTCTGCGTATAATGTACCTGTTATAAGTGTACATTTGCTCAGCTCATTTTGTTGGTAGTGTTTGTGGATAGGGATATGATCTACTTGAAGATAAGCGGAAACGGTTTGGTTCTATACGACACAGCATCGGCTAAAAACAATAACTTAGAGAAAACAATCACGTGACTAAACCATACACTAATATATTGACACTGACAGCAGGGTGAAAACAGTTACCACAAATTATCTTTGACAATTTCTGCAGTTTAATGAATGTTATAAAGTGAATTGCTGTGAAATATGAGTAATTATTTTAAGTTAGGTTCACATTGTCCTTTACATTGTGTAGTTGATATGAATAAAAACAAAAACACACGCTGATTGACTATCATAAATAAATAAAACAAGAATGTCTCAATGCTTGTTATGTGTCATAATCTAGTTGAATCGGGTATCTACTCTTCAGCAATAAAGCCCATTAGCATAAACAGATTAACATTAACGAATGTACGAAAATCATCCCGTGACAGAGCTTCACAAAACTATGAAAATAATGACATTGATCTCGCATTAATAAACTAACAATATATTGGTGGTGGTGACGAATGTCTAAGGAAATAAACGACAATGACACCTGCTATTTAAAACAGAGGCTGTCTGCAAATATATGTTTCTCTGCCACGAAGTTCTGTGCACTGTACATATATGTGTTAAGGGAAATATATCGCCGACATGTCCGATTCGCTTGGTGACATTGTCTCATATCTATGTTGAACATACACAACGGAAATATACACATCAACATACGTCTAAATGTTATTGAGTGTTATTACAAGGACAATAGGTCTTACCTTCCACCTGACATGACTGGCGCACAGGTGTGTTTGAAGGCAAGTGCGAACAGCATAACCTGAGCTACAGTGTGTCAGTTAGCCCTTATCACATTGTCGTCACATCTGTGTCATGTAAAGACCTTGACCTTTGGACTCATTGCCTCGAATCGAGGGCATGTCAGACACGCCCCCTGCCGGCACACACCTTTTGCGAGCCCCGTTTGTCTTTGGTGCTGTAGATCGACCAGGCTGCACGCTACATTTGCCGGTTTCGATTAATTTCGATATTGAGCCGACTTTCAGAAATGAAATCAGTAAAATAGACGATAGGGTAAATTCATAGTGTCCTCACTATCGTCTTTCGCTGACTGTCAATGTTTTCCTTGAGTGGGGTGTGGGGTGGGGTGGGGTTGGGGTGGGAGTTGGGGTGGGTGCAACTTAAATATTTCGTACGATAAGTCTTACAGGGTGGGCATGCATGTTAATCTCATGTAAACTTCAGTATGAATACAAGCCAGTGAATGCTATGACGAATGTAGATAGGTGTAGAGGCTCGCTGTAACACATTATCGACAGTCGTCGTGGAAAATATTTATAAGGTGATTGGATCCCGAGTTGTTTCAAGAGCTCAGGATTTAAACCATCAGAATGCCGCGCCAGTATGTATTTGAATGTATACCTTGTGTCCGATATAATGTGCACTATACATATTTAATTCGACTTTTGGGATGTGATGATATTGTTAACTGCATATAAATGAAATGAACAACACAGCGCAATTGTGTCTGCCTTTGAATACTAATGTGATCGCGTTTGAGTGACATGTATTGGTGTGTGGGTGTATGAAGTGACGTTAGGTTCGTGATTATTGACCCATACCACAGCTAAACATGAATAGTGTATCTATGCTGACTAGGTAGCTATAGTTCCTGCTTTCGTCGTTTATGCCGAGCGTCAGACAAAATATAAGCGCTGTGGAAGTGTGTGTTGTGCGAGTGTGCGTGCATGCGTACATATGTATGCGTGTGTGCAGGGCCTGTGCACTGTCATCTATCATACACCCTGTTCATGCTAACTGACCATTATGTGAAACCCCTTTATTAAATTTTAAGTTTAAACATATTTGAAAAATTTCGCCATGAACCGAAAAGGGCTCCACACCACCGACCGCCCCCTTCTCCCGGCAGACGACATACCGAAGTGCTGTCGAAGTACGGATATGCTAGTGTGGGTGCAGGCGTACATATATATGCATCTATATGCGTATATATGCGTGGGCGGTGGGGTAGCCTAGTGGTTAAAGCGTTGGCTCGTCACGCCGAAGACCCGGGTTCGATTCCCCATATGGGCACAATGTGTGAAGCCCATTTCTGGTGTCCCCCGCCGTGGAATATTGCTAAAAGCGGCGTAAAACTAAACTCAGTCAGTCAGTCAGTATATATGCGTCTGAACAATTTTCGCCATGGCCCGAAATGGGTTCCACACCACCGACCGTCCCCTTCTCCCGGCAGATGACACACCCGAGTATTTAATACGCCTTCAGGTTTGTGTGTAAATCTCCAAGTGGGCGGGTCGTGTGTGGTGTGAAGAACAGGCATGGGTGAGTGTTAAACTGAGGATTTGGACTGAATATCATATGACTCAAACGTCATAACCGTTTCTTTATGATAGTAGTTTGTGTTATACAAAATAATTAAAATAAATAATTAAATAAATGAAACAAATACAAAACAATTTACAGATTTACACATGTTATTATGTACTCAACCTCTCGGACAATGGCGGAGCTGATAATCGAATATTTACAACACGTCAATAGTTCTTGTTGGAGTTAAGTGTAAGAAGCATGTGGTTCTCTGCTACATGTTTCGCAGGAAGTTGAGAATGATATGATATTGCTCCCTTCACTGAGTGTCCAGTGAAGGGACCTGGACGCACACTGTGGGTTGGATACGTAAAGCAGGAAATCTTTTTGCATGTTATGGTTACATGTTAAATGAACAAAACAGTAGATTACTGGGCCCCGAGACAGAAAGAAAGTGCCCTCACGCACGCACGCACGCACGCACGCACGCACGCACGCACACACACACACACACACACACACACATACAGGCACGCACTCGCGCACGCACGCACGCAATAAGAGTATGATGTGTGATAAGTCAGCAATCTATCTGTTCCTATGCATGTCTGAGAGTTACACAAGCATATATATTAGGTCCTAATGGATGGCCTGAAGCCTACATCTGTCCATCAAATGTACGTATTTTAATCTATCAGTGTTCATGTGTAACCTTTCTGGGACATCACTATAACGTTATGTAACATAAGGAAGCGCAGCTAGCAGTTCATGCACACAGTTTTGTATTATAAGACAAATACAACGCAGAGGATCCAAGTACAATCATACAAAGGCGAGTTGACGCAAAAGTGTCTCAAAGCTTCAAACAGCTGTACCAATATTTAAGTTACATTCTGTTTGAAGCTGTCAACATAAATAATAACATGTCCATATCAAATTTTGATGCAAATGATATGATTATCTTTCTTAGTGAGTGAGTGAGTTTTACGCCGCACTCAGCAATATTACAGCTATATGGCGGCGGTTTGTAAATATTCGAGTCTGGACCAGACAATCCAGTGATCAACAGCATGAGCATCGATCGATTATCTTTCTTAGACTATGAAGTCATTTGCTCGTTGTTTTTCGTCCACCAGTCTAATATGTTAATCTGACCTGTTTTGTATGTCTATATATATGTATACTGCGTGACACGCAAATAAAATATCTGCTTACTCACTCACTCACTCACTCACTCACTCACTCACTCACTCACTCACTCAGGGAGGCCTGTAACAATGACAACGCATAGCTTAGGTAGATGGGAGGGTTAGCACGCGAAGTCTACAGTATGATCAAAGGGATAGTGACGCCTGTAATATACACAATGGGATTATGACTGATGGTGATCTTTGATGAGTTGGCAGTATGCAGGAGGAATGTAATAGTCTTTGTAATATTTGGGAGTTGTCTGGGAGCATATTAGTTGCTCTCATCATTGTTCCAAACAGTATTTTTTTCACAACGAGACGATATAAGGAATAAGCAGGACAGTAGGCCTACAGACAATCTAAACCAAACTGGGGTATATAGCAACATGTATCTTCACCCACACATAAGGTGGCCATACACTTGATCTCGTCATCACCAAGTCAGATGACGTCATAGTTTCGTCAGTAGACGTCGTTGATCATGGCCTCTCTGATCACTTTAGTGTGTTTACCTCCCTTAATCTACAGAAGTCTGGACCATTACGGAAATGTGTTACATACCGGAAGACACGTGACATTGATGTCGACAGATTTGTCACTGACGTCAGTGAGTGTTTCTTGAGCAGACCAGTTTTAGATTCCAGGTCAACAGGTGCACACATTGTGGATAACAAGCCTACAGCATACAACGATGTATTGTCTGAAGTTCTTGATCTTCATGCTCCAAAGAAAAGTGCAAGAATTGTCATACGACCAAAATCAGTTTGGATTACTAAGGATATTCTCAAAGCAAAACATGAACGGCGTCGGGCAGAAAAGACCAGGCGAAGTACCAAACTGGAAGTTCACAGGCAAATATTCCAGCATGCTCGTAATACAGTTAATGAGATTGTTAATAAATCCAAGTTAGTCCACATCAAAGACAGTATTAGTCAAAATAAGCACAACTCCAAACAGTTGTTTTCCATGGTCAAGAAGTTGACCGAGGTGAAGGTGATGACTGCTGACCGAAGTGAGTCAGAATCCAAACATCAGGCTAACACTTTGTTGAGTTCTTTACCAACAAAGTTGACAAGATAGTGTCGGACATTACCAGACAACAATCACATCAGGACCCTTTGATGTATGACAGTAAATTTCACGGTTTAGGACTTTATCATTTCTACCAAATCTGTGGATCAGATTTCATTCAGCTTGTTCAGGAGGCCCCATGCAAATCGTGCCAACTTGATGCAGTGCCAACGTGGTTATTACCGGTAGTGACGACAGCAGCATGGTCTGTGATCAACAACTCTCTTGACTCTGGTATAGTACCTCACTGTTTCATGTCTTTTGGGTATTCCAGGTTTAATATATAGTAAAATGTTTATTATATGAGATAATTCGTTCTTTGTTGTTAAAATACAAACGAAAGCTTTCTATATCGCATAATTGACATAATTCGGTTTTCAATGGAAAGTTTTCTTCCTTTTTTACATATAGGTGTCATTAACCAAGCCGATGTATACACTTCCAACTGACTGACATAACCCTATAAATCCAAAACCATGGGAAAATAGAAGATTCCTTATATACGATACCCATGTAGTTTTTCCCATGTTATCTAAATGTTATAAGCTGTTTTGGGGAGACGTTGTTCGTGCATTTGAAGAATTTTGAACCAGAATTTTAAACATTTAATTTGAGAATTAACATATAATATGTATCCACCAAATTCATCATACACCATACAATTTGGGTTGGAGAATCCAACACAAAGGAATCTTCTCCATGTTAATAAGTGAACATTCTCTAAACAGTTAATATTATAACGCTGAAATCCCATTACTTCAGAGCCATATGGTAAAATTGGTTGTATCTGGGTATCAAAGAGCTAAAGAATATACTAGGTAGCATCGTTGAAACTTCCAACTTTGTGGAAATATACATTACACTTATATACTTCAGTATATCTATATGACTAGAGGGGTTCAGTACTGGCCGAAACTTATTAATATAAACGAAAATAGGCTGCCTTTGCAATGCTATAATATGTTGCTGTCACAAGATGAAGGTGGAAGAACAAATTGGGTTACACATTTCCAAAACATTTTGTTTAGACTTGGCTTTGGAATTGCTTGGGTTGCACAAGATGTAGGGCACCTCGATACCATTATTTCAGCATTTAAGCAAAGGCTGTTTAATAATTTCCATCAAAACTTGGACTCAGAATTTGGGTGTTTTATCAAAGACACAATACTACAAGCAGTTTAAATAATTATAAAATGTTGAATTGTGTTTATCATCAGATTTTCCTATTTGTATTAGGTCTGCCATCGCAAGATTCAGATGTTGTAATTATGGACTAGCAGTAGAAACAGGCCGTTATGATGGTACTGA